CAAGAGCCCCTCCAAGAACCCAGCAGCCCTTCCAAGAACCCAACAGCCCGTGTCCCCGTGTCCCCATACCTTGTAATACGCCGTCTTGGCGTAGACCTGGAACTGCCCCTCTGCCGTCATCAGCGAGCCGTAGTTGGAGCCCCTCTGCGGGGTGGGGAAAGGACGTGGGATGAGCTCAACCCACCCCATCCCCATCCCACCCCATCCCACCCCAGGGGATGCGGGGCTGCAGCAGACGCCCACCAGGGACAGGGTGAGCTTGCTGCCGGCGCTGCGCAGGTGCTTCTCCATGCTGCTCATCTGCAGGTCCTCCCAGCGCACGCGCCACAACTCGGCCGCCAGCTCCTTCTCCAGCTGCAGCTTCCTGCACCCAACCGCGGGGTGAGACCCCCCCCAAGGGTCCCCTCCTCACCCCCCGCCCCCTCCCCGCGTCCCACCTGTAGATGAAGAAGGAGATGATGGTGATGGCCAGCAGGACGAGGCTGAGCGCCAGCGACAGCACCTCCAACGTGCTCAGGTTGGCTGTAGGGTGAGAGGGGGGTGGTGAGGGGCTGCGGGCCCCCCCGGGTCGTGTCCCCAGCCATCCACCGCTCACCTTTCCGGCACTGGGGGTCACTGTGGTCGAAGCCACACGGGGGGACGTCGGAGGGGACGGCGTTCCCTGGCCAATGGATGTCGCGTCCCGGCACCATATGGAGCTCCTTGGTGGTGCCGTTGTAGTTGGCCACGATCTGGGTGGGATGGAAGGAGGGGGGGAAAGGGGGAGGTTCAGAACATCCCCGTGGGGATGTGGGGTTTCCCCATCCCAGTGCAGCTCCCACCTGGAAGTCCCCGCTCGTGGGGTCCATGTCCCATAGCGTGTAGTCGCTCTCCCGGTCCCCGTTCTCATCGATCCTCAGGAACCCGGTGACGCCTGGGGATGGATGAGGGGCTCAGGGAGGGGGGCCGGGGAGCCCAGAATGGGGAGGAGTGTGCTGGTGGGGGCAGCGGCTCTGGTGCCCTGTGGGGCTGCACAGCCTCGGCCTGCTTCGTCTGACCCCAAAACACCCAACTGGGAGTGGGGCTGTGGGGTGGCAGTAAGTCCTGTGGGATGGGGATGGGGATGGGATGGGGTGGGATGGGATGGGATGGGATGGGATGGGATGGGATGGGATGGGGTGGGATGGGATGGGGATGGGATGGGGATGGGATGGGATGGGATGGGATGGGATGGGATGGGGATGGGATGGGATGGGATGGGATGGGGATGGGATGGGATGGGATGGGATGGGATGGGATGGGATGGGATGGGGTGGGATGGGATGGGATGGGATGGGATGGGATGGGATGGGGATGGGGATGGGGATGGGATGGGATGGGATGGGATGGGATGGGATGGGATGGGGATGGGATGGGATGGGATGGGATGGGATGGGATGGGATGGGATGGGATGGGATGGGATGGGATGGGATGGGATGGGATGGGGTGGGATGGGATGGGATGGGATGGGATGGGATGGGATGGGATGGGATGGGGATGGGGATGGGGATGGGGATGGGGATGGGATGGGATGGGATGGGATGGGATGGGGATGGGATGGGGTGGGGATGGGGATGGGGTGGGATGGGGTGGGGTGGGATGGGGTGGGGATGGACACCCACCATAGAAGGTGCGGTTCCACATCTGCTGGGTGATGGCGGAGGCGTTGGTGATGGAGCCGCCGCGCTGCAGGGTCTCATTGACAGCGTGAGCGTAGAGCAAAACCCCGTCGTGGAAGGCGGCCGCGATGAAGTTCATCTGAGGGCACAGAGCGGAGTGGGAACGGCGTCCCCTCATCCCCAAGAGCCCCACATCTCCGTGTGCCACCACCCCCAGCAGCCTGGCTCCATCCTGCATCCCATCCCAGCAGCCCCAGCTCCATCCCGTGTCCCCTCACCCCAATGTCCCCACCTCCACCCCATGTCCTCAGTGTCCCCATCCCCATCCCAGGTCCCCTCACCCCAAAGTCCCCAGTTCCATCTCATATCATCAGCGTCCCTCACTCCAATGTCCCCACCTCCACTCCGTGTTCTCAGCATCTCCAGCTCCATCCCACGTCCCCTCACCCCAATGTCTCCATCTCCACCCTGTGTCCCCACATCCCAATGTCCCCATCCCCATCCCACGTCCCCTCACCCCAATGTCCCCAGCTCCACCCCGTGTCCCCGCCCCCCGTCCCCGCTCCTCACCAGTCCGTCCCTCATGGTGAAGTTGAAGTGGGTCAGCGCCTCCTCTTTCAGCCGCGCCACGAACGGTCGGTACTCGGGGTTCTCGGGCTCTTTGTAGGTGATGATGGTGACGGCCTGGAGGGGGGGACGACGACGGGACACGAGGGGGGGGGCTGGCAGCGGGTACGGCCCGCGGAGGGTCCCCGAGCCCCGGGCAGGACTGGCTTTGTGCCGCCCTTATTAATAGCAGCAGGCACCGCTGGGACCTGGGGAAATGAATGTCGCTTCCTTCCTCCAACAGAGCTGCCAGCAGTGAGCAGGGGGTGGGCAGGGGAGGGCCGGGGGGGGGAGGATTTACACGTGGGTGCGCGCCCGGGGCCGCTTCACCCGTAGGGGCGCGCCGAGATTTGGGGATGGGGCTCCGCCGCCCACCTTGAAGGCCTCCCGGGCGCTGTCATCGTGGCGGTCCCCTCGCTTCCAGGGCCGTTGGGGGTCGGGGAATCGCCCCCCCCCCTGCAGGCTGGCTCCGAAGATGTCGATGTAAAAGAAGGCGAAATCTCCTCGCGTCAGCCCCTCTCGCCACGCCTGCAGCATCAGCTCCCGCAACGTGTCCGGAGCGCAGCACACGTACACCACTGCGGGGCGGTGGGTCACGGCGCGGCCACCCCCAGAGTGCGAGCCCAATGGGGGCGGTGAACCCCCCCCCTCCTCCCGTCCCCCCTCCCAACATTACCAGTAACGGGAAAACCTCAGAACCCCCTTTACAAACTCGCGGCGCTGCACCCCGCCCGATGTGCGCTACACCCCGGTGGGTACCGGAGGGGGACACCGAGGGGTCGCTGCCCCGCTGCCCCGCCGCCCCCTCGGGGGCCCGGCCCGACGTTTCCTGTTTTCCCGACACCGTTTCCTCCTCCCGGATCGGCGCCCGCGATCCCGACGGTGCCCCCCCCCCCCCCTCCCCCGGGTCCACCGGGTGCGGGCGGGCAGCACCGCAGCCCCGATGCCGCCGTTCCGGGGGTGGGGAAGGTGGGGCGGGGGGCATTCGGACGGCTCCGGTCTGCGGGGTCGCGCGGGGGTCCTACGCGTGCCGGACCGTCCCCAGCGCTGTGCGGGCGCGCATACGGGCGTGCAGCCGTGCGGATCGGATCGGTGCGCACCTGTTTGCAGCTCTGCACGGCCTGAGCCCCGCACTCAACCCCGCACATCGGCTCTCACCCGCACACACCTGTGCGCTCCGGCTCTCCCCTTCGGGCGGCCGCTCCGCACCGCGCACCGCCCCGCGCACCCCCGGCTGGGAGCACCGCACCGCCGCGAAGCTCCGCGCCCCCGCCGCACCGCCCCTCAGCGCCCCGCACTCACCGCGCCCTTTCTGCCGGATCTCTTGGATGATGAAGGAGTAATTCCCGCGGTGGCGGAACACCACGTCGAGGACCGTCATGTTGCGCAGCGTCGGCAGCTGCACGTAGAGCCCTTCGGCCGCGAAGAAGCACGGCCGGTCGTCCACCCTCTCGTCCCAGTAGACGAGCAGCGCCCGCCGCGCCCACCCGTAGCGCCGGTGCAGCCGCACTCCCAGCTCGCCCAGTTTGCGGTGGCTCGGCCCCACGCGCGTCGTCAGCGCGAACTGCTCGCGTTTGTCGTCGAAGCCGTGCGCCTCGGCCCCCGCCGTCACCAGCGGCAGCCCCCAGTGGCTCGTGAAACGCGCGACCGGCGCGGCCGCGTACACGCAGCCCGGCCCCACGAAGGCTGCGGGGTGGTGGGCGAGTCGCAGATCCACGGCGGCGAGCGGCGCTGCCATCTCGGAGCACAAACCGTGCCGGTCCTCGCTGCTGCCGAACACCCAGCGCAGCGCGTGGCCGGGCAGGAGATCCCCACGCGCGTTCACGGCGGCGGCCGCCAGGCGCACGGCGGGTCCCACGCGCGGCCAAGCCCACGGGTAGGAGAGATTCCGCTCGGGCAGCACCACCGCCAGCGTGAGCGCGGCCCCGCGGGCCCCGCACAGCGCCCCGCACAGCAGCAGCGCCCCGCACAGCACCGCCGGCATCGCCGCGAGTGGCCCCGTCCCCGCGCCCGGCCCGTCCTTCCCCGGCCGCGACGGAGGGCTGCGCCCATTGCCTGCCGCCTTAACCCCTTCGTGCCCGCCCGTCGCCAACCCCGCCCCACGCGTGTCCGTGTGTGTGCGCGCCCACGGGGCGGGGGGAGATCCCTCGTGGGGCGGCGCGGTTGGGACCCGCGTAGGGCTGAGAGCCGACGGAGCCCGCGCTGGGATCGCCCCGCGCCGCCCCCTCCCGACCCGCCGGAGCGGTGACCCCACGCGAGGCGCCCACCGCCGATCCGCCCCGCGATGGAGTCGGAGCCGCCCGCGGAGCGGCACTGCGCAGCGTTGGATGCGACGGCGGTAATTAAATTACTTAATTAAAGCCCTAATGAAAAAAAACACAGAAGACGAGAGGGAAAAAATTTCAGCTAGCAGAGGATGGTTTCGATCCATCGACCTCTGGGTTATGGGCCCAGCACGCTTCCGCTGCGCCACTCTGCTGCTTGTTAACACCTCTCCACTGCTGTATATGAAACTGCTTCAAGCCCGCCTCTCAGCTGCGCATGCCCACCACGCTCTTCTCAGCCCCATTCACAAAGCGCTGGACTCCCTCCAGAGGTCGCCGTAATCCTGGCGCATGCGCCCAACTGCGCACCCACTCGTCCCTCCCTCCTTTCCCGCAGCTATTAATGATTGGCCGCTTAAAACCCGTCGCCGCAGATTGACGGCTAGCCAAACCAATGGCCTTCAGCGGACGCTCACCATTAGCCATCTTCGCGGGGGCCGGCAGCCAATGGGCGCGCGGCTTGTTGCGGGGTGCGGGAGCGCAGCCCGGTGGTGTCTGAGCGGCGGTCATTGTTCGTCGCGGCGCAGCGATGAGGTGCGGAGCTTCGGGGGGCAGCGGGGCTCGGCGCCGCGCCGCCGCTCGTTTAACGTTTTCCTTCCTTTCTCTTCCGCAGGGGCGACCGAGGCAGAGGCCGTGGCGGACGCTTTGGTTCCAGGGGAGGCCCTGGCAGTGGGCGAGTCCCGCTTCTGCTCCGGGGGGTCCCAGCGCAGGCCTAGGGGTGGGGGGAGGGGGAGGGCGGCAGGGCCGGGCTGCAGCGTAGCGCAGGGCCGGGGGGCTGAGGGCCGCTCCCGTTCCCGTTCCCGCTCCCGCTCCCTTTGGGCCGCTCCCGCTGGCACGGCGGGGAATGAAGCGCTTTTTTCTCTCCCCTTTAGGTTCCGGCCCTTTGTGCCGCACATCCCCTTTGATTTCTATGTCGTGAGTAAACCGCGTCCAACCGAGCTGTTCGCAGGCTGGGTTTCCCTCGTTGTCGGGCGGGAGCTCCGGCAGTGCGGCCGGAAAGCCCTGAGAAGGGCTCAGAACCGAACCGGACGCGGAGCCGCACCCCGGAGGCGGTGCGTGTGGGCCGGGATGCGGTCAGCGCCGCGTCGGACCTCCCCGATCGGGCTGGGGGCGATTCCCGCTCCTTCCAGGAGGAAATCGGTTTCTTTTCCCCGTGCCTTGCAGGCAGAACGAGTTCCCCCACTCAGCCCCGGGGCTGTGAATTGCTGTCATAGCGACCGAAACGCTCCCCAGTCCAGAGCAAACAAAGCCGTGCTTGTTTTGTTTGGCAGTTAACAAACACCCGTTGCTGGGGGTCAGATTCGCTCTGCGTGGTGCTGTTTAATCCTTTGGCACAGAATCAGCCCAGGGGAATTGCAGCGGTTCCCCTGTGCTCCTGCAGAACAGCAGGCAGCTCTCGGCGCTCCTTGAGCCTAACATAAAAACAGAAGCGCCAAACAGAGCAGCACGGTTGGGGATAGGAAAGAAACGAATGCTGGGCATGGAAAACAAAGCCGAAATCCGCGTGTTGTGTCAGTTCTGACGCCTGATCCCGTTGCAGTGTGAGATGGCTTTCCCTCGGGTGAAGCCTGCAGCTGATGAGAGCGCCTTCAGCGAAGCCTTGCTGAAAAGGAACCAGGATTTGGCACCGACTGCTGCAGAACAGGTTGTGTGCGGGGGGTTCTGCTCGGCCTCCTCAGCTGGATGCTGCTGCAGGCTGTGGGATGACTGACCCATGCTGCCTCTCCCCCGCCTGCGATTCCTTTCCAGGCTTCTATCCTTTCTCTGGTGACCAAAATTAACAACGTGATCGATAACCTCATTGTAGCACCAGGCACTTTCGAGGTGGTGAGTCGAAGCCGTTCATCGCGCTCTGCGAGGAGACGTTTGAGGGGATGCTGATCCTCCCTGCCAACCGTCCTCTGCAGCACACGGCCCTGCTTTCAGCCTCTCCTTTCGCTCATTCTCCTTTTATTCTTTCCCTCAGCAAATCGAGGAGGTTCGCCAGGTCGGCTCCTACAAGAAGGGCACCATGACGACGGGGCACAACGTGGCCGATCTGGTTGTCATCCTGAAAATCTTACCCACCTGTGAGTACTGTCAGCTCCTGGGCCGCTGCGGGACGGCAGCGCTTGGATCCTCTTCTGATTTTCTGCCGCTCCCCAGTGGAAGCTGTGGCAGCCCTGGGAAACAAAGTAGTGGAAAGCCTGAGAGCGCAGGACCCCAGTGAAGGTACGCAGAGCCCAGGCACAGAGCTGAGGATGCTCCTGGGCACTGGGAATGTTTCCCAGCCTCTCTGTAAGGAAATCCTTTCTCTCTCCAGTCCTCACCATGCTGACCAACGAAACTGGCTTTGAGATCAGCTCAGCCGACGCGACGGTGAAGATCCTCATCACCACGGTGCCGCCCAACCTCCGCAAGCTGGACCCTGAGCTGCACTGTGAGGGGGCTCTGCTGGCTCTGCCCCACGTCTGCCTGCCCGGCCTGCAGCTGCTCTGCTTATAAAACGGGCTTTTCTGCTGCTTCTTTCAGTGGACATCAAAGTGCTGCAGAGCGCCCTGGCCGCCATCAGACACGCTCGGTGGTTTGAAGAGAACGCTTCTCAGTCCACGTGAGTCTGGCCTGCGGTTCACAGAGCCCAAAATCATCTTTATGGTGGAGGGTGGGGGGAGAGCGAGCTCCCGTTCTGGCTGCAGGAACGGGCAGGATGCGTTATGGACTCTCCTCCCATCACCTCCTCCAGGGTGAAGGTCTTAATCCGGCTGCTGAAGGACCTGAGGATTCGGTTCCCTGGCTTTGAGCCCCTCACCCCCTGGATTCTGGATTTGCTGGTGAGGATGAATGCTGATGTTGTGCCACACGTGCTCAGGGTTGTTTCCCTGAGTGCCTGCACGGCTCCCTGTAGCCCCCGCGGTGGGATTTGGGATGCCTGTGCTTCGCTCTCATCTTCACGTCTCCTTTCCATCCGCTCAGGGGCACTACGCCGTGATGAACAACCCCACCAGGCAGCCCCTGGCTCTCAACATCGCCTACAGGTCCGCGTCCAGTTGATTCTCTGCTGTGAACCCCCCGTTCCCACCTCCGTTTTGAACACGCCAAATAAAAGCACTGCTGTCTCAGAGCCTCGCAGACCTGAGGCCAAGCAGCTCCTAGGCTGTGCTCAGTGCTCGACTTCTTCCCCAGCGCATCAGAAGCTGCTTTGTGCCCGAGTGCCTCCTGTCTGCTGCCGCTGCCGTGCTGGGAACGGTTTCGTTCCTAACATGAAAGATCTCATCCTGCAGGCGCTGCCTTCAGATCCTGGCTGCTGGGCTCTTCCTTCCCGGATCCGTTGGTATCACCGACCCCTGTGAGAGTGGCAACTTCAGGGTGCACACGGTCATGACTCTGGAGCAGCAGGTGAGCCACCTCCTCTGCAGAGAGGGGAGAAAGGGACTCAGATCCGTCCCTGCTGTGACTCCGTCCTCGTCCTGCAGGACATGGTGTGCTACACGGCGCAGACGCTGGTCCGGATCCTCTCTCATGGAGGCTACAGGAAGATCCTGGGCCAGGAGGGCGACGCCAGCTGTAAGCAGGCTTTGGGGTTGGGAGCGGTTCCTCCAGTGCTGTTAGGAGGCGGAGCGGCGGCTCGCAGGGGCGGCTTCCAGCTGGTGGCAGCCGCTCAGCTGCAGGGACGAGTCGGTGGCTGCGTTTCCCCCTGCTGGCGCATCCCGGGAACGGAGCTGTGAGCTGCGTGCTCAGCTCCCCTTCCTGCAGATCTGGCTTCCGAAATGTCCACGTGGGACGGAGTGATAGTGACGCCTTCGGAGAAAGCTTACGAGAAACCTCCAGAGAAGAAAGAAGGAGAAGAGGAAGAGGAAAACCAGGAAGAACCCGCTGCGGGCGAGGAGGAGGAAAGCATGGAGACCCAGGAGTGATTTGCCCAGGTAAAGCCTGAGAGGAGGGAGCAGGAAGAGGCTGGGCAGAGCTCTGCCTCCCACAGCCCCTGCTCTGCCCCTGCAGCGCAGCTCAGCACCACCGGCTGCTCCTGGAGGAAGCACTCGAAGAACTGAGCAGAGGAACGAAATCAACCCCAGCAAACACACCCATCGTCTGTCCCTTGTATTTGTTTTTATAGGTTGACATTAAAGTATTCTCCCTTTTGAGTGAGTTCTGTCTGTTTTGGGGGAGAAAATGCACGCTACAGAAAGGGGTTAAAGCTCCGGTACCTGGAAGGGAGTCTTAATCTTGACAAGCTCTACCTGGGGGTGATGAATTCCCCTTCTGTTTGTGCTGGCTCTGCTTCCACTGAGGCACACGCTGTAAGGCCGTGTCTGTGACACACACTGCCTCGCCATTCCGTAAGCAACACGCAGTCCCTTTTATTACAGTGCCTACAAGCCTAAAAACACAACAGAGTCCCCCAGTTCCTTCTGCTGCAGCTGAAGCACCGCAGGCTGCAAGGCTCCCCTCCTGTGCTGCCAACACGGGGCTCCCAGCTTTGTAAGGCACCTCCCCGCTCAGAGCTTCTGCTCCATTCCAGCTCCCAGGGGCGGCTGTGGGTCCTGCTGGGTGCTGCAGTGGGGCTCACTTGCTGGGCAGACCCTGGGGGTATCCGCCTGCTGCCTCCAGCATCGCCCTCCTGCGCATCGTCTCCTTGGCCACGCTGTGGTTCAGCCGCCGCAGCCTCTCCTGGAGTGGCAGAACAGCAGCCGTGAGCACAAAGCGATGGCAATTCCTCTTCCCTCCCCCCTAAAAACCACAACGGAGCCCCAACATCTGACCTGGGCGTTTTGCAGGATGTTGTTCACCAGCACCACCCTGCGCCGGGCGTTCAGCAGCTTCTTCACATAGGGATCGAGATCCAGAGCCACTTTCTGATCCTCATTGATTCGGCACAGCTCTGCGGGACGGCACGCAGTGGCCACGGGGCGCCGCAGCCCCGACGGCAGCCGGACGATCCCCCCCAGCACGGAACCGACCCCCCACCCCTCACCTGTCGCCAGGCTGTCGATGTGCTCCCGCAGCTCCACTTGGCTCTCCCTGCAAGCAGCGCTGAGTCGGTGACGAAGCCCCGCAGCCCCCGCGCACCCCCGACGCGATCCCCGTTATCCCCTATGAGAGCCCCTCGCCCCCAAGTCACCCCAAACGCAAACGGGCGCAGCCGCCCCTGCCCCGTCCCGGCCCGCACAGCGCCCTGCAGGCCCAAACCGCGGCCCACCGCCCCGCACGGCCCCGCACCTGACCGCATGCACGTGCCCGTCCAGCTGCCGCACGGCGGGCCGCAGGAACTGCAGCAGCCCCTCAGCGAACAGCTCCCGCGCCGCCGGACCGCCGCTCCCCGCCGCCATCTTAGCGTCACCGGAAGTGATGACGGAGCACTTCCGGTCAGCGCGCAAAGGGCTGCTGGGAAACGGAGTCCGCGATGCGCCGAGCGCCGCCATGAAGCGCCGCCTCAAATCCGCCGCAACTCCGCTTTTTTCGGGTAATTTGTTGTTTTTTTTAAAACTTTTTTTCCTTTATTTTTTTAAACTTTTTTTAACTTCATTTTTTTACATCTTTTTATTTTTTTACTTTTTTTTAAACTTCATTTCTGCACTTTTTTTTACTTTTTAACTATTTTTAAAACTTTTTTTACTCCATTTTTCCACTCCATTCTCCCCCCTTTTTTACTTCTTTCTATTTCCCCTTTATTTTCTCCTTACTTTTTTTCACCTTAATCTTTTTCTTTACTTTCCCTTTTTTCTTTTTCCTTCCCCCCCCTTTATTTCTTCCCTTTTTTTCTCCTTATTTTCTTCCCTTTCCACTTTATTTCTTTATTTTCCTTCTTTTTTCTCCTTATTTTTTAATTTTTTCCCATTTTTTCTTTTTTTCCATTCTCCCCACTTTTTTCCCCCACATTTTCCCCATTTTTTTTTCATTTTCCCCACTTCTTTTTTTTTCCCATTCCCCCCATTTCTTTTCCATTTTCCCCACCTTTTTTCCCCATCTTTTTTTTTTTTACATCTCCCCATTTTCTTTTACAACCCCCCCCCTTTTTTTCCCACCCCCCCTTTCATTACATCCCCCAACCTTTCCTTACACCTCCCCAATCTTTCCATTTCCCCCCCATTTTTTAAACATTTTTTCCCCGCTTTTTTCCCCCCGTTTCCCCCGCTTTTTTTTCACGTCCCTCCACATTTTTTTCATTTTCCCCCACTTCTTTTTCCCATCCTTCCCCACTTTTCCTTCACCCCCGCCCACTTTTTCCCCCTCCCCTTCCCCTCCCCCCTCCACAACGCACTCAGCGCAGCGCCGCAGGCTCGGCAGCCGGCATGGCGTGCAGAACCTCATCCAGGAGCTGCATCGCGCGGTGCAGCTGCACCTCGATCCAACACGGCGTGTTTTTGATGCTCTGCCGCGGATAATCCGGCCCCCAACCCTTCACGAAGCTCAGCCGCAGGATGCACAGCCGCCGCAGATCATCCACGCCGATCCCGGCCGCCGCCGACAGCCCTGACCGATCGCCTCGCCGCTTATTTGGGCTCCTCACGATGCCTCCCCCCCCCACCTCCTCCCACCCCCCAAAATCCCCTCTGCCCGCTCACCCACAGCCGGAGCGATGCCTCCCACCGCCCCGGGTCCCGGGATGTTTCCAGCCACGGCGGCCGCTTGGGTTGCGGCAGCGGCTTGAGCTGTGGCTGCTTGCTGCTGCATCTGCCGATGGCATTGCCGCAAATCAAACACCTGGGGGAGCAACGAAGAGGGGGGGGATTTCAGCTGCCTCCTGAAATCCCTTCGGACGCTTTGCGGCGATTCCTTTTTTAAGGGTCTCATCCCCGCCCCCCCAGCATCGGGGATCGGCAGCCCTGCACTCACAGAATCACGGCACGGTTTGGGTTGGGAGCTCAGGGGTCCCAAAGCTGCGACCCCACAGCGCCTGCAAAGCCCCCGACCTGCCCACGTCTCACAGCAGCCCAGGCTGCCCAGGGCCCCATCCAGCCTGGCCTCCAAGCCCTCCAGCGATGGACGGGGCATCGCAGCCTCTCTGGGCAGCTCTTCAGCCCCTCACCGCTCTCCCAGCACACAACTTCCCTGACCCCCAGCCTCCAGCTGCCCTCCCTCCGCTTCCAGCCGTTCCCTGCTCTCATCTCCCCTGCCCAAGAGCTGCCTCCCCTCCTGGCTGCAGGCTCCCTGCAGGCTGCACTCAGCTCAGCCCCGGCTCCTCTTCTCCGTGCTGAACGAGCCCAGCTCCCTCAGCCTGGCTTTGCAGGGAGCTGCTGCAGCCCCTGCTCAGCCCTGCGGCTCCTCTGGCTCCTCTCCCACAGCTCCCTGTCTTGTCTGGGAACCCCCAGCCCTGGATGCGGTGCTGCACACGGGGCCTCAGAGAGCAGAGCCCAGAGGGACGATCGCCTCCCTGTCCCTGCTGCCCCCCCTCTGCTGATGGCGCCCAGGATCCCGTTTGCTTTCCCAGCCGCAATCCCACCCTGCTGTTCAGCTTTTCACCCCCCGGCTCCTTCTGTGCAGGGCTGCTCTCAGGACTGAGCTCATCTCTGCTGTCCGGCACAGCGCTCACTTCCAGCTCTTTGCCCCACAGCGCCCTGCCTTGTTCCACAACCCGGATCCCGGTTCTGCTGTGGGGTCCTGGGCTCCGTCTCAGCGCCGTCCCCTCCCGCAGGCATCGCTCCTCCCATTGCCTCCCCATTCGCTCCTCCCAGCGACCCCCACCCCATTTGTTCGCATTGCAACCGCTGCATCCCGCGGGACATTTGGGGTCGGGGTCCCCCCCCAAATCCCCACCTTAATGTGAGCTCCGGGGTAGATTTTGTGCACGGCGTCTCCGGGGGCTCTGCCGGCCTCCCGATCCAGGTAGTAACTCTGCACAAACACTGCGTGGTCGCTCAGGCACCGCATCCAGACGTCGCCCTCACCCCGGCACTCCAACTGCACGCCCTTCCCGATGTGCAGCCTGACCCGGGGCGACCATCAGCCCCCAAATACCCCAAATACCCCCATTGCAACCCCATTTCCCCTCTCCGATCCCAAATTCCCCCATTCCAACCCCATTTCCCTCCCTCTACCCCCAAAACTCCCCATTCCAACACCATTTACCCCCTCTGACCCCAATTGCACCCATTCCAACCCCATTCCCCCCCTCTGCCCCTAAATATCTCCATTCCATCCCCATTCACCCCCTCTGTCCCCAAATACCCCCATTCCAACCCCATTTCCCTCCCTGCCCCTAAATATCTCCATTCCAACCCCATTTCCCTTCTCCAATCCCAAATACCCCCATTCCAACCCCATTCCCCCCCTCTGAGCCCAATTACATCCATTCCAACCCCATTTCTCCCCTCTGACCCCAAATACCCCCCATTCCCACCCCATTTCCCTCCCTCTACCCCCAAAACTCCCCACTCCAACCCAATTTTCCCCCTCTGCCCCCAATTGCACCCATTCCAACACCATTCCCCCCCTCTGCCCCTAAACATCTCCATTCCAACCCCATTTCCCTTCTCCGACCCCAAATACCCCCATTCCAACCCCATTCCGCCCCTCTGCCCCCAAATACCCCCCATTCCAACCCCATTTACCCCCTCAGATCCCAATTGCACCCATTCCAACCCCATTTCCCTTCTCTGACCCCAAATGCCCCCCATTCCAACCCCATTCCCCCCCTCTGCCCCACAGATCTCCCATTCACTCCCTGTATCCCCTCCTGCCCTGTGCATCACCCCACCAGCCCCACACATCCCCCTCCTGCTCCCCAATATTCTCCCCCAATCCCTCCTACCCCACCCACCCCATATTTACCCCTATACCCTCTTCCACCCCATTTACCCCCCTCTGACCCCCTTTAACCCCCTTCTGCCCCACACATCACCCTGCACACCCCATCCTCCCCACATTTACCCCTATACCCCTCTTCTACCCCATTTACCCCCCACTTCCCCCTTCATCCCCCTTCTGCCCCACACATCACCCCGCAGACCCCACTCTCCCCATATTTACCCCTATACCCCTCTTCCACCCCATTTACCCCTCTGACCCCCTTTTACTCTCCTTCTGCCCCACACATCACCCTGCACACCCCATCCTCCCCACATTTACCCCTATACCCCTCTTCCAACCCCATTTACCCCTCTGACCCCCATTTATTCCCCTTCTGCCCTACACATCACCCTGCACACCCCATCCTCCCCACATTTACCCCTATACCCCTCTTCCACCCCATTTACTCCTCTGACCCCCCTTTTATTCCCCCTTCTGCCCCACACATCACCCCGCAGACCCCATCCTCCCCACATTTACCCCTATACCCCTCTTCCACCCCATTTACTCCTCTTACCCCCTTTAACCCCCTTCTGCCCCACACATCACCCTGCACACCCCATCCTCCCCACATTTACCCCTATACCCCTCTTCCACCCCATTTACTCCTCTGACCCCCCTTTCATCCCCCTTCTCCCCCCCACATCACCCCGCAGACCCCACTCTCCCCCTACACCCCCCCCTCTCCACACCTCCATCTCCCCCTACACCCCCCCATCGCACACAACCTCCATCCCCCCCCAGAACCCCCCCAGCCCCACACATTCCCCCCCCCCCCCCCCCCCCATTTCCCCCCCACCCCACCGGGCCCTCTCGCTGGTGTCGGTGCGATGCACGTTGGAGAGCTGCCCCAGGCAGAACCGATCCCCCCCCGAGGGGTCCACGTATCCATCCACGACCACCAGAGGGCAGCTGGACGGAACCTTGAAGATCTCCCCCACCTGCACGTCCATCTCAAAGTAGGCGATGGAACACCAGAATTCTGGCCCTGGGAACCGGGGGGGGGGGAAGGGGGGGGGATTGGAGAGGATGTAAAGGGGGGGGGGGGGCATCATTGGGGTGGGCAATGGGGTGAAAGTTGGGTTGCTTACCGGGGTGGGTGGACACGGGTTGCTGGTAAGGTGTGGAGTTGTGGTGTGGAGGCCCTGGGAGTTTTGGGGTGGGGGGGGAGGAGGGGGGGAAGGTTAAGATCTCCATCTTGGTTTGAAGCTTTGCCCCCTTCCTCACCTCGATTCCCTTCCTGCAGACTTACAGTAATGGTTGGGGGGCTGCAGGGGGGGTTGGGAGTGGGTCCGGCCGCTGGGCTGGGGGGGGGGCTGCGACCCCCCCAGGTTGGGTGCGTAGATGGCTGCAGTGCTGCCACTCCAGTTTGGTGAAGCTGCTGTAGGGGGGGGGGGTCTGAGTGTGAGACCCCCCCCCCCCAACTCCCTCAAAAGCTGGGGGGTGCGAGGTGATGGGGGGGAGGGGGGGCAGCCCCATACTTACTGTGGTAGGGCGGTTTGGGGGGCGCTGGGAAGCCGTTGTGGGGTGGGGGCTGCGCTGGCGGCGGTGTGGGGCAGGAGATGTGGGGCAGCAGCCCCTCGCTGTGGGGCAGTGGGAGGAGGGAGCCGGCGGGGGCCGCTGCAGGTTGAGGATTTGGGGGGGGGGGGGTGGTCAGAGAGGCATCACAGATGGGGAATCCCCCCTTAGGGATGGGGGCACTGGGGGGGGGGATGCGTGGTTCTGATGCGTGGTTCTCACCTGGGGGTGAAACGGGCAGCGTGGGGTAGAGGCTCCCGGGGACGTGGGGGGATTCGGGGAGCTGCTGGGGGGGCAGCGGAGGGCGGAAGGGTTCGGTGGGGGGGCACGGCGCCCGCTTGGCCCCATGCGGTGCCTCCATCTGCACACAGTCATGGACAAACTCCTCCTTCACCAGGCGGGCGGGGGGCACTGGGCGGGGGGGACACCGGAGACCATTGGGGGGCACGGGGACCCGCTGTGGGGCTCGGGGGGGGCACGGTGGGGGGGGCCGTTGGCTCCGATACGCTCCGGCGCCCGGGTCTCACCTGCGGTAGGGATGCTCAGACCTGGTGAGATGAGATGGGGGGGCGTTATTGGATTTGGGGTGGGGGGGGGGTTTTAAAGGGGGGGGGTCGGAGGTGGGCCGGCTCACCGATGGCCGGGGCCACCACGCGCTCGTAGTGGTAGGGGTTGACGCAGACGCTGTCGTATTTGAGGTCGAAGGCGAATTGGCAAAACTTGGAGTGTTTCAATTCGTTTTTGTGCAGGTCGGGCCAACGCCAGAGCCGGGCGTAGATGACGTGGGGGAAACCCTTCCTGCCGGCCACCTAAAGGAGGGGGGACGGGACACAAACAGAACGTGGAGGGACGATGTGGGGATGCTGTGCCAACGCTCCATCCAGCCCCGCCGATGGTGCTGCCAACACAGGCGTGGGGTGCTGGACCCCCCCCCTCCGTCCCCCTCCATCCCCCACCCCCCCCAGCATCCATGCAGTTCAAGGCTGGCGCCAGGCTGGGACCCCGGGGGCTCCCCCTGCGCCTCCCCGGAGCCGCGTTCGCTGCAGACATAACAACTCCCCCCCCTCACGGCCCCCCTTCACAGCCCCCCCTTTGGCTGCAGGCTGCCAGACAGTGACTCATCCAACAAGGGGGGCTGCGCTGCCGGCGTGGGGGCTTTGCAACGCAGACCCCCGTGCCGTGATGCCCAGCGCTGCCTGCTTCTGTGCCCCCCTCCCCAAGTCCCGGTTGGGGGCTGTGAGCGCAGGCACTGAAGTCGGAGCAGCGTTGGGCTCGGAGCCGCAGGCTGGAGGCAGTCTGAGCGCCCCACCGATGCGGGGGGGGCTTCTGTGGGTCTCCCCTTGCCCCCATGATGTGGGATCGCCCAGCTTGAGGAGGGCTCTGGGGGTCTCGGAGGGGGGGGGGGCTACGGGTCTCCTCGTCTTGGGGATGGTTTGCTTTGAGTCCCCCAAAAGTTGGGGACTTTTGCGGGGGTTATGAAATACTAAGAGGGCCATCCAGACCGGGGGATGGTTTATATGGGGAGGGGGATTGGGGGGGGGTGAGGGGACAGCAGGGCAGCCAAAGCTCTGGCAGGGCTGCGGTGCCCTGGGGGGTTTTATGGGGCACAGCAGGGCTCAGCCTCCTCAACCGCTCCAGGGATGCTTCAAAGGGCACAGGGACGCCCAAATCCCCTCCCCCAAAACCCAAGGAGGTGAGCGGGGGTCTGGGGGGGTCACCCGGGTCTCCTCAGCTCCTCGAGGGGGCGTGCAGGGATGGGGGGAGGGAAAAGGGGGGGGGGGGGGGGGGGGGTTTACCTGGAGCCTCCCGTCCAAGGTGCGCTGGATGGTGACGCACTTGCTGGGGTGGGCGCCGTTGGTGGTGATGGCAGCGATGAGCGAATCGAGCTCGTCCTTCTTCTCCTTCAGCTTCTTGACCAGGCTTTCGATGGCCCTCTTGGCGAAGCTCTCGTTCTCCCCGCCCTGCCGGTGGCACATCAGGCTGTGCACGATGCTCAGACAGGCGTCGCTGCTGCTGGGCGCGCCCAGGGACATGGCGCTGCTCCCCTGCAAGGCACGGCACGGCACGGCCCTGCCCGTCACCCCGCTGCAGGGGACCCTCCGGCCCCCCTCCCCACGCCTGCAAGGCTGCAGCCGCGACGCCGGGCTGAGCTCAGCATCGTGCACGGAGCGGCTGCTCGTGCACAGGGTCCGGAAGCGGCCGGAGGGGGACGTGGACCCCGTTTGGCACCGGCGACGCGACGGCCACCTGGGACGGCAAAACGGCGAGGACGTGGGACAGAGCCATGCGTCACCTCGAAGCAGCCCGGCCTCGTGGCTCCCGCGATCCGTGCCCAGGACGGGAAGAGAAGATGAACGGGGTGACGGCGACGAAACGCGGGACGTTCGGGGCGTCCCCAGCCTGACGGCAGCGCAGCCCAAAGGTGGGCGCAGGGTTGCGCCGGGGGGGGAGCCGCTGATGGGAGCTTTCACCCCGGGGTGCCGGCCGCGCTGGTTGCTGCTCAGCCCCGTCTCCAGCTCGTGGCCCAGACTAAACAGAGCCCGGGCTGCTGGCGCCGCTCTTTAACCCCTCGCTGCCTGCTGTCGGCGCGCTCACGCCAAGAGCCGCGCGCACGTTGCGTCTGCGGAGCCCCCCAGCATCTTTCCTCTCCCCCCCCCCCCCCCCCCCCCTCCTCCCCCTTCTGCCCCGGGGGGTGGCTGTGAGCGCTTTGGGGCCTGGGAAAATCCTTGAGCTGACCGCAGACACAACAAAACCCTTCGCCCCGCTCGCTGCTTTGACCCACGGCCGTCTGTCTGTCTGTCTGTCCGTCCGTCCGTTCTGGCAGAGCTGCGTTGTTGGCTCGGCCCCCGGCGTTGGCGAGATGCCACGGCCCCCCCCCCACTTTTCCTCTCCCTCCCCCCCCTCCCCCTTTTTCCCCCCTCCTCCCACTGTTGGAGTTGATGCTGCTGGCCGGGCTCCCCGCTCCCAGGGGGACAGATGGAGTGGGGCGGGGGGATGCTGGGGGGGGGGGGGGGTCCCTGCGGTTGGGTTGAGCTCTGAGCCCTCTCCAAGTCCTCTCCTTCCAGCTCGGTGCTTGCCGTGCTCCACGAGCCAGGAGGGATTTTGAGGGCAGAGGAGGAGTGGGAGCTGTGCTGCACCCACAGCCATGGGGTGACTCAAAGAAGGGCACAGCGCTGACCCCATAGCAATGGATGTCCCAGAACGGGGCCCAGCAATGTCCCCAAAGCAATGAGGTGTCCCAGGGTGGTGGTCACAGCACTGTCCCCATAGCAATGGGGTGTCCTGGAATGGGACATAGCCCTGTCCCCATAGCACTGATCCCATAGCAGAGGGGTGTCCTGGAGCAGGACACACAGCAGTGTCCCCATAGCAATGGGGTGCTCCAAAGAGGGGCACAACGCTGACCCCATAGCAATGGGGTGTCCCAGAATGGGGCACAGTGCTGTCCCCATAGCAATGGGGTGTCCCAAAGTGGGGCACAGCAATGTCCCCATACCAACAGGCTGTCCTGGAATGGAACACAGCACTGTCCCCACAGCACTGTCCCCACAGCAATGGGGTGTCCCATGGGGAGCACAGCACTGTCCCCATAGTAATAGGGGTGTCCTGGATTGGGACACAGCACTGTCCCCAAAGCAATGGGGTGCCCCAAGGAGAGGCACAGCGCTGTCCCCATAGCAATGGCTATCCTGGAATGGGGCACAGCTCCGTCCCCACAGCACTGACCCCATAGCAATGGGGTGTCCTGGAATGGGGCACAGAACTGACCCCACAGCAATATGGGGTATCCCGAAGTGGGTCAGAGCACTGTTCCCAAAGCAATGGGGGCCCCAGAGTGGGGGGCACGGCGCTGTCCCCATAGCAATGGATGTCCCGGAACGGGGCACGGCGCTGTCCCCATAGCAATGGGGAATCCCACAGCAATGCGGTGCGCCAGAACGGGGCACAGCACCATCCCCGCAGCAATGGGGTGTCCTGGAGCAGGGCACAGCACCGACCCCACAGCAGTAGGGGTCCCAAAGCGGGACGCAGCACTGTCCCCATAGCAATGGGGGTTCCCGGAATGGGGCACAGCTCCGTCCCCACAGCCGCGGGGCGTCCCGGTGCTTCGGTGCCCGGCAGCTCCGCGCTGTGGCCGGGCAGGGCGAGGCCGCGAGGCCGCTGCGGGTCTCCGTAGTGGGGAATGATGGTGGGGATACCGAGGGAGGGCCGGGCTCTGCACTCACCTCCGCCGCACGCCGCGCTCAGCCCGGACCCCGCATCGCCGCCCGCCCCATAACAAAAGGGCAAGCCGAACGCGTGAAGCGCTGCAGGGACGCAGCCAATGGGAGGCGGCGTGACGGGCGGCCACCGCCCCGTCGGCCAATAGCGGTCGCGCTTACATAGAAAGGCGGGGCAGCTCCCGGGAAGAGCCGAGCGCCGCCCGGGAAGAGCCGAGCGCCGCCCCCTGCCCCCCCCAGCCCCGGTCCGGCCACGCGGTGCGGGCGGTTCGGAGCCCCGTCCCCACGGTTCAGCTCCTCCCATAGCGGCTCCTCCGCTGCTTCACGGAGCGCGGAGCAAACGGGATGTATTTAACGCCCCCCCCTCCCCCAAAGCGAGCTGTGACAGCAGGAAGCCGACGGGATTCACCGCAGGTATAAAAAAGAAAAAGAAAAGCACCCGGAGCCCGCGCTGCTTTTGTAATTTCTCCTTTGTTACAACAAACCAGAAAGACGGGATTCCAGCGAAACCGGGAGTTCACACAACAGAACCGAAAAGGTGGGGATGGGGAGCAGAAGCCCTCCTTCACCTCCCAGCAGCGGCGGGATGGGAGGAGCGTTGGTTTCACCGTAAGGAACGGCGCCGAGCAGCGGAGCTTCGGGCTCCGCGTTCTGCAAGGCTCGATGGGTTGAACAGAAGGGGGGGAGATGGGGGGACGCGTTTCCCATCCCAAAATGCTGCTGCGGAGCCCCGCATGCAGGCAGACTCACGGCCCCTTGCAGGAACTGCAGCAGGGCTGTCAGATTTGCGTTTGGAGCAGTTTTGGAGGGGGGGTGGGGGGGGGAAATAATAGATAAAAATCATCCCAAAAGGTTTCACACAACATACAGAGTATCAAAACAGGAAAGGAAAACGTACTGAAGTCTGATCTGCGGCGGAACAGGGCTGCTCCCTGTTCCCGTGGGTCCTTTCAGCTGAATCAGGGTTTCCTTGTTTTAGCTCGCGGCTACGGGATGCACACCACCATCCACACCAAGTCTCTGCAAACACCCTTCAGTCGTTCGTTTCGGGGTCTGTCTGAGCCATGTAAGCATCCAGCTCGGCGTCGAGGTGTCCTTTCGTTTTCGACATGTAAGCGTCTAACTGGTTGTCCAGCTGTTCCTTGGTCAGCGCCGGCCGCGCCGATCCTCTGCCTCGTCCTCTGCCTCTGCCGCGGCCGCCAAAGCCGCCTCTTCCCCGGCCCGCCATGCCACGGCCTTGCAGAGACAACACAAAGGTTACAGAGCGCGGCTCAGGGCCGGGCAGAGCCGCCCCGCTCCCCTCCCCCGGCCGGGGGCTGCGCCGTGCCGCCCCGCTCCCCACCTCGCTGTGCTTTCAGCCCCGCGGGGCATCGGAGCCACTGCGCCCCCCCCGGCTCTGCTGTTTGCTTTCCATCCGCCCTCAGCAGAAACGGATCCCGCTCATCATTCAGTCTCAAACCCTCTGCCGTGTGCGGGTGTGGGACGCGATCTGCACGCTGCAGGGAGCAGCCCGCGCCTTTAGGAGGCAGCGCGTGCAAACTTGGGACGGAGAAGCGCTTCGTATTTAGCAGCCACCGCAGGAGACCACGGAGCAGAATGGCAGCCCCACGGCTGACGCAGCCTGCGCGTTGTTTTGAGTGTGGGAACGCGGCACAACGCTCCTCAACAGCTGAGCGCCTTCCCTGCGCTCACTGACACACAGCGATGCCTGCGGGAGGGGACGGCGCTGAGACGGAGCCCAGGACCCCACAGCAGAACCGGGATCCGGGTTGTGGAACAAGGCAGGGCGCTGTGGGGCAAAGAGCTGGAAGTGAGCGCTGTGCCGGACAGCAGAGATGAGCTCAGTCCTGAGAGCAGCCCTGCACAGAAGGAGCCGGGGGGTGAAAAGCTGAACAGCAGGGTGGGATTGCGGCTGGGAAAGCAAACGGGATCCTGGGCGCCATCAGCAGAGGGGGGGCAGCAGGGACAGGGAGGCGATCGTCCCTCTGGGCTCTGCTCTGTGAGGCCCCGTCTGCAGCACCGCGTCCAGGGCTGGGGGTTCCCAGACAAGACAGGGAGCTGTGGGAGAGGAGCCAGAGGAGCCGCAGGGCTGAGCAGGGGCTGCAGCAGCTCCCTGCAAAGCCAGGCTGAGGGAGCTGGGCTCGTTCAGCACGGAGAAGAGGAGCCGGGGCTGAGCTGAGTGCAGCCTGCAGGGAGCCTGCAGCCAGGAGGGGAGGCAGCTCTTGGGCAGGGGAGATGAGAGCAGGGAACGGCTGGAAGCGGAGGGAGGGCAGCTGGAGGCTGGGGGTCAGGGAAGTTGTGTGCTGGGAGAGCGGTGAGGGGCTGAAGAGCTGCCCAGAGAGGCTGCGATGCCCCGTCCATCGCTGGAGGGCTTGGAGGCCAGGCTGGATGGGGCCCTGGGCAGCCTGGGCTGCTGTGAGACGTGGGCAGGTCGGGGGCTTTGCAGGCGCTGTGGGGTCGCAGCTTCGCCATCCCTGAGCTCCCTCCCAACCCAAACCATTCCGTGACTCTGTGAGATGGGTTTGGGGCTGCACAGCCACACAGTGAAATGAGGGGAGCTGCAGCTCGTTCAGAGCCGCTCAGACTGACCTCTACCGCCGAGTCCTCCGCGCCCCATGGCTCCTCGCCCCATGGCTCCTCTGCCCGGCCCCCCGCGGCCCCGCAGCCCTCCTCTTCTCAGCCCCATCCTCGGGGCCATTCCTCGGCCTCCCCGCAGCAGGCCCTGACCTGCAACAGAGCAACGGAGCATCACAGAACCCATCTCAGAGCAAAGCCCTCAAAACAACCTCCTCACACATCTCCCAGCACTGACCTCGCAGTGGGAGCCCTCCTCTCAGCAGAGCTCTGCCTCCCCGGCCCCCACGCATGGCTCCTCGTGGCAAACCTCTCTGCCCCATGGCCAGTCCTCTTCCCCCCATGGCTCCGCGGGCGATGGGGCCTGCAGGGCGGCCCAGCCGTGCCTGGATGTTGCTTTTACCGAGGCGTTGCTTCAAGCTCTTCTGGAATAGAGCGTTAAACAACAGCAAAGTCATGCAGCAATCCGAGCGGCACGGAAAGCAAAGCAGT